CCTCTTAGAATTCTAGCATTCAGAAATCTAATAACCCACATTTGTTTTACCTCAAAAACGTCGGAAAATCTGACAGACGTACATAATGCCTTGTTTATAGTTGTTGATGTTTTTTTAATTTACGTTATTCAACTCGCACTAACCAATCTATGAACAAACACAAATTTCACTTCCGTAAGGAGTCTATAAACTTTATATTAAAGTGATAAAAGAGATAAGAAGCTTAGATAATCAACGTATCAGAATATCTTCGTAATGTTTTCTTGTAATAGTTTGACACGTTTCTTTTTCTAGTGAATATTTTAGCAGATAAAAAGCAAACTCGTAACTGATCTAATGTTGACTGACTGAAATGAAATGGTGTTTAACAAGACATTCCAGAGTTAAATACCAACACATGGTAAACCAGACTGACGCCAGTTCTTGTTGTTGTTTTTTGTGATTCTTCAAACGGTGGTGTAGCATTAGGTGTGAGAATAGAGAGTAAGAATGAGTAAGGTCAAAATTTGGAGGTTTATTTTGAAACATTATTCACAACTACATCTGTGCGGTCAGCGCCACATTTTTTATAGAATAAGGAGACCTTGACTTGTGTAATTATCTAAACATATATATAGTTCTACCCAACAAAGAAGGTATCATGATGGTTCTGTATATATAAATCAGTTGAAAATTAACTCAAAAGTGTAACTTTCAAAATAAACAATGAAATATAGCAAATTTGAAGAAAATCACAGCTTTCTTATGCCCGTTTCAGATTTCTAAGTAGCCCGATGATTAGTTAGATCATTCTAAAATGTTTGTAATGTTAATGCCACCTAGTGGCTCGGCAATAAGTTTAAGGGCTCACACCGCACAAACCGAGTTTTAATACTCGTAGCGGGAACAGTATCAAATAGACTATTGTGATTAACAGAAAACAAAGAAACAAATTATCATTAATTTTAGTTAGTTTTCCAACCCAGATTATCCTGTTTTCGAGTTAATTAGTTAGTTTTCATACCCAGATTATTCTGTTTTCGAGTTAATTAGTTAGTTTTTCCAACCCAGATTATCCTGTTTTCGAGTTAATTAGTTAGTTTTCACACTCAGATTAGCGTGTTTTCGAGTTAATTATCTCTCTGCTATTTTGTCGATCCTTAAAATTGGTGCATAAAATAGTTTACAAAATATAAATAAAAACGTAAACTATTGTTTTGGGGGCACCAGAAAGGTTTAGGAAAAACCTTTATTTAGGTTATTCGAGTTACAGTACGCATGCGTCCGTTTGACCAGACTACTTAATCTTCCTGCCGCCATCCTTGATATGGTGCAAAGACACTGCGAAATGAAAATAAAGATATAGTGTCTAATGAAGGTTTCTGTCAAGGCAGAGAAATCTTGAATCCAAGATCACTATGATGAAGGTAGAAATATTTAGCAAATGTGAAAGTTAAAGTCTTCTTTACATCTACACATTTTTATGTTCTGCTATTCTGTCAGTAATAAAGAAACCACGAATAACAGCTTAGAGTAAACAGTTCTATAAAAATATACACATAACAACTCTGTGATAAAATTAATATAATCTTTGTGTAACGTTCCCTTGTGTACAGTTTTACTATATACCAAAGTTCTTTCATTCACTTATCAGTTGTTACCATATTTGTTAAAATGTAGTAATAAAATATTATACATGCATCTAGGAGGATAAGGCATTTTACAAATATGGTTGAATTATATTTACATCTGGCATATTTCAAGAAGGAAAAACAAACGAGAAATAATAAATAGTAATACATATTTAAAAAATAAAAACAACGAAACTATATGTCCCATGTCTATTAATAAGGATGAGTTAGTTACAATTTACAAGTTACTCTGAGACGTTTACATTTTCTATGCTAAAAAATAGTATTGTGTTATTACACCTTTATTCCGTATTTTTTATTTTGTTAACTTTTGCAATCCTTGCTAGAGGGCGAAAGCTATTATACAGTAATACTGTAATTTTCCCAAGCGAGTTACAAACTTAATACATGTTACTATCCATTTATAAACCAAAACTATAAATGCGAAAGGGAATAACGAAAAAATATTGCGTGTTTTGTTATGTTTATATTGGTCCTGGATGGTGGAGGTCAATTACTGAGTTTCCATCAGAAATATGTAATTTCATTATCATTACAGGATATAATTCAAATGTGGGGGAATAAACTATAGTCTTATTTTAAATATAAAGACTCCGTAGTTTAACTAATATTTTAATGTAGAATTTGTTTCAAACACATGTATTACATTTTACGGAATAATTTAATGAACTTCAAATATTAATTTTCAAACACATGGAAGTCTTATACAAACAGCATCACAAGATATACTTTAATTGTTTCTTTCTTGAATTTCGCGCAAAGCTACACGAGAGCTATCTGCGCTAGCCGTCCCTAATTTTCAGTGTAAGACTAGAGGGAACCGCCAACTCTGGGGCTAATCTTTTACCAACGAATAGTAGGATCGACTGTCACATTATAACGCCCCCACGGCTGAAAGGACGAGCATGTTTGGTAGGACGGGGATTCGAACCCGCGAGCTACAGATTGCTAGTCGAGTGCCTTAACCACCTGGCCAGGCCATTATGCTTTAATGTTCAATCGTTTTGAAATTAAATACCTGTGATGCTTGTTTGTTTATTCGTTTGTAGCTAAGCACAAAGCTACACAAAGGGCTATCTGTGCTCTGCCCACCACGGGTATCGAAACCCGGTTTCTAGCGTTGTAAGTCCGCAGACATACCGCTGTGCCACTGGGGGGGGGGCTCCTGTGATGTAGTATATTAAATGTCAGGAATTTACTTTTTTATATTATATATATATATAGCAAGAATGTATATATGGGTGTGTGTTGGCTAAGGATTCTTCTACAGTAGGTGTCTGTGACTCATTGGCGATAAATTCGACGACAAATGAACAGCAAGCACTCAGCTTGTTTTAAAATAATATATTTAAACAAGTTAAACGTATGTACAAAAATTCTTTACACTATGTATATCATAGCTGTATCTTAAATACTATATAGTTCTCTTCTTCTTGTCAAAAGTCAACTTAGGCTAATTCAATTGCTTTACAATTCAGCAGACAAGCCGAACTATTTTTTTATATTTTTATCTCAAACACTATCAGTGTATAATTATCTTATTCCTTTTTTTTCTTTTATCACAACAGTATCGGTGTATACTTCACTTACGCTGTCGTTGAGTTACCGCAGTTATATCCTGAATTTCCGATACTCGTCTGCTTTATCGTATTCAGGCTTATTTCCAAATAATCGTTTGTTTTTTGTCAAAGTCCACATAGGCTTTAGAACACCCTTTGACGAGACAAATTATTCTCCTAAAATGTCAGAAAACTGTTAATCTCACTTTAAAATATCAACCCTTAGGCTATTCACTCCTATGACAATTAACATTACATTTTGTAACCTTTCTCTGACCGCTCTCTTTCACTCCGCTTTACTTTTGGCTCTCTTCCCGCTCTCTTTTTCGTCTGCTTGTTACTATTTCTAAATCTATCACTTAGTGACTTACAACTTCTAGAAATCTCTATATCCTCGACATCAATGAATTACATGCAACGTTCGATAGCCTCGACATCAGTGAATTATAAACACAACGTACAACTCTTACCGAGTTACGTAACCAAACTTGTCATAACCATCCCATTTGAAATAATTGTTTTTAATTCTCTTGTTATGAAAAAACTAAACAATTATGAAATATTCACTCACAAAATAAATTATTAAATAATACCTACACTAAACAGTCTTTTTATATCTGACATTAAGATTATTTCTATTCTTGTAACTTTGGGTTCCTAGTAAGAACAGTCTAAATTTTCTTTTCAACTAAATTCAATAACAACTACGAAGACGTTTCTGCAGCCACATATAACGCTATACTCAAAAACAAAAATTATTTTCTTATTTAATGTTTAAGAAATATGTGTACTATATAGTTGGATAGGTCGATAAAATGTACTTATTATCTTTAAAATCAATGAGAACCTAGAGGGAGACGAAAAAATGCCTATTGATTTATTTCATAATTTTCTTCTGCAAGTCTAATGTTTGAATATAATAAGACTAAATGAATTAGCATTTGAAGCGAGACTTATATATCATTTGTCTTTAGATGCAGTCTTTGCTGTCCAGATTAATCGTCTTGGATTTGAAGTTTGTACTTACTAAAAATTTTGCTAACGCTTACAAGTATCGATACTCGTGGTGGGCAGAGCACAGCTAGCCCATTGTGTAGCTTTGTTCTTTATTACAAACAAACAAACAATAAAAAAGTTGTGTTTAGTAAAACTTCATCTTCTCCCTAATTTTAGAAAAATATTATAATGTAACAGACAGTTTAATTGTAGGCATAGGTCATGTGTAATTTGTGTTAAATGACAATTTAGCAATCCTGATTCCACCATGTGTTGTTTGAATGAACAGGTAAGCACAAAATATCAAAAGATGGCTTATTGGAATCATATTAATTAATTAATTATGAATACTGTCATCCTATATAATAATAATAAAGATGGGATTATTGGAGGAGTAGATATCTTATCAATGTAACAGATAACAACCTACCACGTGGGGTCATCGTTGTTTGTTCGGTCATAGGTTATGATGTCCTTTATTTATTGCCAAAGTTAAACACCCAGCGGAGAACTCTGACATGAACAACGAGCATTAAACCTATAAAATCTCTACTCGTATATCAGAGTTGCTATACGCTTAAGATAAAGATGAACAACTTTCACTTCTGATGAAGATATCTGTGTGTGTAACTTTAAAGTTCCATTTTTTGTTTTTTCGAGCATACCAAGGACGTAAGTATACCTCGTAAAGTCTCTATATCTAGTGTTTTACGTAAAACTTAACTTGTCAGATATTTTTCTGATACTAATGGTTCGTCACATGATTCTGATGCTCAGTTTTAGACGTGACATCAAACAGTGCCCTGCACAGTTCCATTCAGTGACAGCAAACAAGGGCGCAGGGTTACGTAGCATACGTGACGTGTGCACGTGCTCTTCTTGTTATCTTTCCTTGTTGGCTTTGGGCCAGACATGAGGCGGACTTGGGAGTCGAAGGACTTGTGAAATACAGGCAACACCGTTTCATGTGTAATATTACGGTAAGTGGGCCTAGACCATTGACAATATTTATAAGCTTAGTCTGTTAGCTGTCAAAAACATAGTTCGCTAACATTCAAAGACAGTCTCGTAGTTATTTTTGTAATGCTGTTCCATACTTGTTATTCCAAGGACATTTCGCCAAAATAATTTTAAATGTATAGCAATAGTATTTCTCAAATATAATTTATTCTTTGTTGTTGTTTTTTTCATTTAAATGTAAAATTAGCAAAGTGAATCAGATATCACCGTTGAACTAATTTTATAAACAAGAACAACGATACAGAGGTGCATATCAAATAAACGTTCACTGTTTTAACTGGCGTTCTTTACAATGTAGGTGCCACTTGTTGAAGGATTAGTATCATCCATTGGAAATGTTTACTGCAAGTTAGCGCTGTAGATCAATATATATATGTGTGTGTGTGAAGTATCCAGATGTATAAGATATCCTGTAAGCATTAAATGTGCACACATTAAATCAATGATTCATTTTTACATGTATTTAGGCAACTCGTGTAGTAGAAGGTACGATGCATCGTTGTTAGAGAAAAAAAAAATAGAACAATACATTTAGTGAACATTTATGTAGGATAACGATACATATTCACACAGTTTTATAAATATCTATTACATTAAGGTTCTTATATACTGTTCACCATTGCTACCAAATTATAGCTAACTCTTGTTGTTTTATTTGATGGTCTTATTTCCATCGGTGATACAATTATGCTGAATATTTTACGTATGTGCCTCTCATATATTCGCCTGTAAATTCTCCAACCTACCTGTAGCTATTTCATATTCCCACTGTTAAAATAACAATCTGTGCTGTAGCCAGGAAACATTCTGAGGGGTGGGGCTGTTAAGAAAGTATACTTGTTTGTGTTTTAAAGAAACGAGCAGGGAGAAAAGCGTGTTAAATCTCCTTCCCCTGGTACATTTATAGCACGGGTATACGTATATATCCAACCTAGTAACAAACTGTTAGATCATTATTCTCACTGATGTTTGCTAGTAATTGATAGTACGGATGCTAGAAATACAGATGCTTAGGTTCCTATTGGCAACTATCTCTGCCTTCGTGCAAATGAAACCGTTTGATTATGCCCCTTTCGAGTTTCACGTAATCAAGAACGAATTAATATAGCTATTCTATAAAACTTTGTCATATCTATATGTTGGTAGGGCTGTTTTTGTTTTCTTACATGTTTATTTATTAATATATTTGCTTATATTTGTAAACTATAAATAAATAAGTGATATGTTGATATCAGTGTGTTCTCAGACGGAGAGGCTACTGGATAAAACCGGGAGTTAATGTGTATTATGTTTCTTGTTTGATAGGTTTATGAAGTATTGTGTGTACATTATTTTAACAGTCACATTTCTTACTTTCTCGACATACGACTAAATATAATGTATCTCAAAATATTATATTTTTAGGACATTTCTCATTAAGGAGGTGCTAGGAAGAAAATAATAACATAGATCTTTTTGGACTAGATTGATCATAATAATTCCTCTTATGTCGCGAATTCCAATATGTCTCCATTTTCAATATAATTTGAAAAAAAAATTCTATCGGCGTAATAGCCTAAATCTAATCCCAGGGATATAGTAGAGTCATTGCGTTGCCTGTTTGCGTTATATGAGGATGATAAACATAATACTTGAATTGTTTGTGGCAATTTTACGAGGTGAAGTTTCCCCGTATTTTCTTAAGATGACAATAAATATCTGTCAAAGGGAAGCAAGGATAAGGTAAGTAAATATTTGTTGGTATTGTGAAGCAAGGATAAGGTAAGTAAATATTTGTTGGTATTGTGAAGCAAGGATAAGGTAAGTAAATATTTGCTGGTATTGTGAAGCAAGGACAAGGTAAGCAAATATTTGTTGGTACTGTGAAGCAAGGAG